CCAACCCTCAAGCGCCATCAAGCGTGGATGTTGGCCCAACATCCACCCCTCAAGCGTGGACACTGGCCCAACATCCACCCCTCAAGCGCCCAACACCAAGCGTGGGCGTTGGCCCAACAACCACCCCTCACTCATGGATGTTCCCCCTCGAGCGTGGGCGTTGGCCCAACATCCACCCCTCAAGAAATTTCAAGGATGGATGTTGGCCCAACAACCACCCCTCACTCACGGATGTTCCCCCTCGAGCGTGGCCCAACATCCACCCCTCAAGCGCCCAACACCAAGCTTGGGCATTGGCCCAACAACCACCCCTCACTCATGGATGTTCCCCCTCGAGCGTGGGCGTTGGCCCAACATCCACCCCTCAAGACCCCTCAAGGATGGATGTTGGCCCAACAACCACCCCTCTCCCCCTCGAGCGTGGACGTTGACCCAACATCCACCCCTCAAGACCCCTCAAGGATGGATGCTGGCCCAACAACCGCCCTCACTCATGGATGTTCCCCCTCGAGCGTGGGTGTTGGCCCAACATCCACCCCTCAAGACCCCTCAAGGATGGATGTTGGCCCAACAACCACCCCTCTCCCCCTCGAGCGTGGACGTTGACCCAACATCCACCCCTCAAGACCCCTCAAGGATGGATGCTGGCCCCACAACCGCCCTCACTCATGGATGTTCCCCCTCGAGCGTGGGCGTTGGCCCAACATCCACCCCTCAAGACCCCTCAAGGATGGATGTTGGCCCAGCAACCACCCCTCACTCATGGATGTTCCCCCTCGAGCGTGGACGTTGGCCCAACATCCAGGCCATGATCGGAATATTGATTGCCTTCGAACCCCCCATCTGTCAGCATGGGTGAACATATATATTCCAAGCTATAGCCAGGAGTCTTTGTCATTCCCGTAAATTTGATACCTTTGAAGTCTCGGGCCTTTTCTTGCAGGTAAAGCCAATATGACTGTAGTCTGTGAACACGCCATTCCACTCTTAACTGTTTGGGGTCTTCGCTGGTGTGATTTTTCAATATTTGTGTGAACGGAGGCTTTGATGCACGCATCTGGGGCAACATGGTAGTGAGGTGGGTCGTAGTTGTTGGGGCAATCTCAGGAACGGCAAGCACGTGTTGGTGGCGTACATCATGAAGCCGAAGGCAGGATACGATTACCTGGCCACCGCGGCACACTTTGCCGCCGAGTCCTCCACAGGCACCAACGTGAACGTGTGCACCACGGACGACTTTACCAAGTCCGTGGATGCTCTGGTGTACTACATCGACCCCGACAGCGAGGAGATGAAGATCGCTTACCCAAATCTGTTGTTCGACCGCAACATCATCGATGGCCGCGCCATGATGTGCTCCTTCCTGACCCTGTCCATCGGCAACAACCAGGGTTTGGAGCTTAGTTTCGTGTGCGGATGTCTGTGACAAAATCTGAAACCGCGTTTGACATTTTGCTTAGACTGATTGGTCGTTCCATGCCGAAAGGATGTGACAGCTTGGGCTGAGGTATGGGCGACGTCGAGTACGGCAAGATCTACGACTTCTACTTGCCGCCTGAGTTCCTCCGCCTGTACGACGGCCCGGCCGTGAACGTGGAAGACATGTGGCGCATCCTGGGCAAGGGCACCAGCAACGGTGGCCTCGTGGTGGGCACCATCATCAAGCCCAAGCTCGGCCTGCAGCCCAAGCCATTCGGCGAGGCCTGCTACGCGTTCTGGCAGGGTGGCGACTTCATCAAGAACGATGAGCCTCAGGGCAACCAGGTGTTCTGCCAGATGAACGAGGTCATCCCAGAGGTTGTGAAGGCCATGAGGGCCTGCATCAAGGAGACCGGGGTAGGCAAGCTCTTCTCTGCCAACATCACCGCAGATGATCCCAACGAGATGATCGCCCGCGGCAAGTACTGTCTGTCCCAGTTCGGTCCTTTGTCCGAGAATTGCGCATTCTTGGTGGACGGATACGTTGCGGGAGGCACGGCCGTGACTTGCGCCCGCCGCAACTTCCCAGGACAGTTCCTGCACTACCACCGTGCTGGACATGGATCCGTGACTAGCCCCCAGACCCAGCGTGGTTACACCGCCTTCGTGCACACCAAGATCTCCCGAGTCATCGGTGCGTCCGGCATCCACACCGGCACCATGAGCTTCGGCAAGATGGAGGGCGATGCCTCCGACAAGAACATTGCCTTCATGCTGCAGGACGATGCGGCCGATGGCCCGTACTATCACCAGCCGTGGGAAGGCATGAAGCAGACGACCCCCATCATCTCTGGCGGCATGAATGCGCTCCGCTTGCCGGCCTTCTTCGAGAACTTGGGCCACTCCAACGTGATCCTCACCGCCGGTGGCGGCTCTTTCGGACACAAGGATGGCCCCAAGCCCGGTGCCGTCTCGTGCCGCCAGGGCGAGGAAGCCTGGAAGGCCTGGAAGGCTGGCCAGTACGGCAACATCAGCTTGAGTGACGGCGTCATCGAGTTCGCGAAGACGCACGAGGAGATCAAGGGTGCCTTCCTGACCTTCCAGAAGGACGCCGACCAGATCTACCCGGGATGGAAGGAGAAGCTGGGCTACACGGGCGAGTCCTCGGTGCAGGCGGCCAGCTTCGACTGGGCCAAGAAGGCATCTGCCGCGGCCTTCGTGGGCTGCAGTGCCCCAGAGCGCACGGTCCAGGTCGCCCGGGCGGTCACTCCGTACGAGTTGCAGGAGAACGTCTATGCCGACCTGGAGTTCACCAACGACGTCGGCTACCTGCCTGATGGCACTCCCATGAACCGGGCAGGCAACGCCATCAACCACCCGGAGACCATCGGCCCTGACAGTCACGCTCCGGGCTCCCCTCTGCCACGCGCTCACTTCGTGAACTCTGTGGGTTACCTGCCCGATGGCACTCCTCTGAATGCAGCCGGCAACGCTATCAACCACCCGGAGACCATGCAGCCGGACTCTCACACCCCCGGTTCTCCTCTGCCAGCATCCGCGTATGCAGCTGACATCGGCTACCTGGTGGATGGCACTCCGATGGAGACAGCTGGCAACAACTCTGTGAGGGGTGGTGCTGCGCCCGCAGCTGCCCCTGCACAGGCGCCCGTGGTTGCGGCGGCCGCCTTTGTCGGCTCCTCGGCAGCGACCCCCTCCAAGGTCAGGCACGCTGGAAACTTCGCCTACTCCTTCCAGAAGGACTCCTGGGCCGACCTGGAGTTCAGCAACGACATCGGCTACCTGCCGGACGGCACGCCCATGAACAAGGCCGGGAATGCGATCAACCACCCGGAGAACATTCAGCCGGACAGCCATGCTCCGGGATCTCCCTTGCCTTCGGCCATCTTTGTGAACGATGTCGGCTACCTCCCAGATGGCACCCCGCTCAACAAGGCCGGCAACGCCATCAACCACCCGGAGAACATCCAGCCGGACCTTCACACTCCCGGTTCGCCGCTGCCTGCCTCCGTCTACGCGCAGGACGTGGGCTACTTGGTGGACGGCACGCCCATGAGCACTGCCGGCAACCTCTCCGTCCAGCAGTAGGCATGCAAGGACAAGGTTTATCGGTGATAACTGTCGCTTGAGTTCCGTGCTAAATCCAAAACGAGCTTGGCTCGCGCAGGGCTGCCTTAAGGCAACCCCAAATTTTCCTATTGGAGCTCGAGGGCAGATTTTCAATCAGGGTATCTTGCCAGACTTAACAGTCACGGCCCCGCACAAGTGAACAGAGCGGAGCAGCTCAGCTAGTGCACCACAATCAGCCGCTTCCTATGAGCTACGCATGCGCGCAAGTCTTGGAAGTTGCGAAAAGTTCGAGGCCTCTGATCAGCTTGGCAGATTCGCACCAAGCAACTGGTCATTTACAACGACCTGCACCAGCTAGCCGCATATTTTGGGCGGGTCCAGAAGTTTTTCCTAGGTCTAGCTCTCGCTTGGTCGTTTTCTTACTGTAGGTCTCTGCATACAGGCACTATGTTTGCAAAGGGGGAAAGAGGCTGCGCCCCCGCCCAACCTCTTTGTGCTGTTTAGCTGCGCAAGCTGCAGCACCTGTCAGGATCCTGTCAAAACCACTGTTCTTACAACCTCCCCCCCAGCATGCGAAGTCCGTTTGCAGGACTGGGAACAAGTTCAAGCCGTGGTTTACGTCTTTGACACATTTTCTAGACGACCCAGGAGCTGGAAATATGGACGATGCTGCCATTCGCAGTATTCGAAGCCTTTGCTAGCCAAGAACGTCGAACCAAACCTCGGAAAAAACACAACTTGAGCGCCAGACTGAGGACAAAAACAATACCTCCGCCCTATTTGCACAAACCCTAGCAGCTTCAACAGCAGTGCACATGCATCCTACTCTGTTCTGGGCTCCCCATGAGTTATCAATGTGCTGAACAATTGGTAGATGTTGGTAGGTCAATTGTGCTTGCGCTGATGCTTGGACTCTGCAGCAATCCGAACAACAGGCAAGCAGTGTAGTACTGGTGTTTGGTGGAAAAACTCTACTACTTGTGATGGCACAGCGCACTCCGGCGACCCTGGCGCTGGGCGGCTTGGCCGGTGGGCTGGCCTACTTGAGCTCGGGCAGCCAGGCCTTTGCAGCTGCGCCGGCGACCTCGAACCTCCGCCAGCAGCGTGCGGCTCATGCAGCACAGGCGCCTTCGTCCTTGACCTCCACATCCCTGCCAGCCATGATGGCGGGTGGCGTGGTCCTTGCCGCCGCTGCCACCTCTGGACGTGGGACCCGCTCGCGTGGCAGCGCACCCGCCCGGGCGGTCACTCCTTACGAGTTGCAGGAGAACGTCTATGCCGACCTCGAGTTCACCAACGACATCGGCTACCTGCCTGATGGCACTCCCATGAACCGGGCAGGCAACGCCATCAACCACCCAGAGACCATCGGCCCTGACAGTCACGCTCCGGGCTCCCCTCTGCCACGCGCTCACTTCGTGAACTCCGTCGGTTACCTGCCGGACGGCACTCCTCTGAATGCAGCCGGTAATGCCATCAACCACCCGGAGACCATGCAGCCGGACTCTCACACACCAGGTTCTCCTCTACCAGCGTCCACGTACGCAGCGGACATCGGCTACCTGGTGGATGGCACTCCCATGGAGACGGCCGGCAACAACTCTGTGAGGGGTGGCGCCACGCCTCCACCAGCACCTCCAGTGGCGGCCGCGGCATTCGTTGGCTCCAGTGCACCGGCATCTGCGCCCGCACCAGCACCAGCTGCACCGACACCTGCACCTGCAGTGGCTGCGCCCGGTGCTCCTCGCACTGCCATGTACGGGAGGAAGTTCGAATACAGCTTCCAGAAGGATGCCTTCGCCGACTGCGAGTTCAGCAACGACGTGGGCTATCTTCCCGACGGCACTCCAATGAACAAGGCGGGCAATGCCATCAACCATCCGGAGAGTATTGGTCCGGACAGCCATGCACCTGGCTCACCGTTGCCCAGGGCCAACTTTGTCAATTCCATCGGCTACTTGCCGGATGGCACTCCCATGAATGCAGCTGGCAACGCCATCAACCACCCGGAGACCATGCAGCCAGACCTTCACACGCCAGGCTCTCCTCTGCCAGAGTCTGTGTATGCAGCCGACGTGGGCTATTTGGTGGATGGCACTCCCATGGAGACGGCCGGCAACAACTCTGTGAGGGGTGGCGCCACGCCTCCGCCAGCACCTCCAGTGGCGGCCGCGGCATTCGTTGGCTCCAGTGCACCAGCATCTACGCCCGCACCAGCACCAGCTGCACCGACACCTGCACCTGCAGTGGCTGCGCCGGGTGCTCCTCGCACTGCCATGTACGGGAGGAAGTTTGAATACAGCTTCCAGAAGGATGCCTTCGCCGACTGCGAGTTCAGCAACGACGTGGGCTATCTTCCCGATGGCACTCCAATGAACAAGGCGGGCAATGCCATCAACCATCCGGAGAGTATTGGTCCGGACAGCCATGCACCTGGCTCACCGTTGCCCAGGGCCAACTTTGTCAATTCCATCGGCTACTTGCCGGATGGCACTCCCATGAATGCAGCTGGCAACGCCATCAACCACCCGGAGACCATGCAGCCAGACCTTCACACGCCAGGCTCTCCTTTGCCAGAGTCTGTGTATGCAGCCGACGTGGGCTATTTGGTGGATGGCACTCCCCTGGAGACGGCCGGCAACAACTCAGTCAGGGGTGGCGCCGTACCCGCGTCAGCTCCTGCAGCGGCTCCGGCACCCTCTGCCCCGACACCTCAGCCTGTGGTCGCAGCGGCCTTCGTCGGCTCGTCGGCAGGGACCTCATCCAAAGTCAGGCACGCCGGGAACTTCGCCTACTCCTTCCAGAAGGACTCCTGGGCCGACCTGGAGTTCAGCAACGACATCGGCTACCTGCCGGACGGCACGCCCATGAACAAGGCCGGGAATGCGATCAACCACCCGGAGAACATTCAGCCGGACAGCCATGCTCCGGGATCTCCGTTGCCTTCCGCCATCTTCGTGAACGATGTCGGCTACCTGCCAGACGGCACCCCGCTCAACAAGGCCGGCAACGCCATCAACCACCCGGAGAACATCCAGCCGGACCTTCACACTCCCGGTTCGCCGCTGCCTGCCTCCGTCTACGCGCAGGACGTGGGCTACTTGGTGGACGGCACGCCCATGAGCACTGCCGGCAACCTCTCCGTCCAGCAGTAGTCGTTCGACAACTGATCTTTTGAGTCGGTGGACAGGCCGGCTTCTATGTCGATAATCGTGAGGTGTGCGCAGACACTCAAGTCGATAGGATTGCGTGTACTGCTGGGAGCAGAAGCTTGCAAGCCAGGTCGAGTTAGCCCCACCGTTCTGGTACTTGATGAACGAACAGGCTTCATCAAGGGTTCCCTGGTTTTGCATGATGCTTCCTTAATCTGCAGCCTTTGGACAGCTTTGCTTGTGAGTTTCCCTAGTTTCAATTGAGTCAAAATAACAGAGCTTGGCTCGAGATAGCAGGCCGCCTTGAGGCCGCCTTCGATGTCTTCAGCTTTGCTTGCCAGACTTAACACAAGTCATGGCTTGGCACAAGTGATTGGAGCGATCAGCTCACCCAGTGCATTACAAAAGGCGGCTTCTGAGCTCGGCCCTGTGCACAGGCTTGTGGCTTGGGTGTTAGGGATTATTTTGAAGGTGTAAATTGGTCATGACTGCCCTTCAACGCGGCGATTCTGTCGCGAAAGCTTCGTGTTCATCCCCGCAGCTGCTTCACAGGACATATTTGTGACAAGGGTGCTTTGAGATAGCTTCTTGGACCAATGGCGCAGCGCACGCCGGCGACCCTGGCGCTGGGCGGCTTGGCCGGTGGGCTGGCCTACTTGAGCTCGGGCAGCCAGGCCTTTGCAGCTGCGCCGGCGACCTCGAACCTCCGCCAGCAGCGTGCGGCACATGCAGCACAGGCGCCTTCGTCCTTGACCTCCACATCCCTGCCAGCCATGATGGCGGGTGGCGTGGTCCTTGCCGCCGCTGCCACCTCTGGACGTGGCACCCGCTCGCGTGGCAGCGCACCCGCCCGCGCGGTCACTCCTTACGAGTTGCAGGAGAACGTCTATGCCGACCTCGAGTTCACCAACGACATCGGCTACCTGCCTGATGGCACTCCCATGAACCGGGCAGGCAACGCCATCAACCACCCAGAGACCATCGGCCCTGACAGTCACGCTCCGGGCTCCCCTCTGCCACGCGCTCACTTCGTGAACTCTGTGGGTTACCTGCCCGATGGCACTCCTCTGAATGCAGCCGGCAATGCCATCAACCACCCGGAGACCATGCAGCCGGACTCTCACACACCAGGTTCTCCTCTACCAGCGTCCACGTATGCAGCGGACATCGGCTACCTGGTGGATGGCACTCCCATGGAGACGGCCGGCAACAACTCTGTGAGGGGTGGCGCCACGCCTCCACCAGCACCTCCAGTGGCGGCCGCGGCATTCGTTGGCTCCAGTGCACCAGCATCTGCGCCCGCACCAGCACCAGCTGCACCGACACCTGCACCTGCAGTGGCTGCGCCCGGTGCTCCTCGCACTGCCATGTACGGGAGGAAGTTTGAATACAGCTTCCAGAAGGATGCCTTCGCCGAGTACGAGTTCAGCAACGATGTGGGCTATCTTCCCGACGGCACTCCCATGAACAGGGCGGGCAATGCCATCAACCATCCGGAGAGTATTGGTCCGGACAGCCATGCACCTGGCTCACCGTTGCCCAGGGCCAACTTTGTCAATTCCATCGGCTACTTGCCGGATGGCACTCCCATGAATGCAGCTGGCAACGCCATCAACCACCCGGAGACCATGCAGCCAGACCTTCACACGCCAGGCTCTCCTCTGCCAGAGTCTGTGTATGCTGCCGACGTGGGCTACTTGGTGGATGGCACTCCCCTGGAGACGGCCGGCAACAACTCTGTGAGGGGTGGCGCCGTACCCGCGTCAGCTCCTGCAGCGGCTCCGGCACCCTCTGCCCCGACACCTCAGCCTGTGGTCGCAGCGGCCTTCGTCGGCTCGTCGGCAGGGACCTCATCCAAAGTCAGGCACGCCGGGAACTTCGCCTACTCCTTCCAGAAGGACTCCTGGGCCGACCTGGAGTTCAGCAACGACATCGGCTACCTGCCGGACGGCACGCCCATGAACAAGGCCGGGAATGCGATCAACCACCCGGAGAACATTCAGCCGGACAGCCATGCTCCGGGATCTCCGTTGCCTTCCGCCATCTTCGTGAACGATGTCGGCTACCTGCCAGACGGCACCCCGCTCAACAAGGCCGGCAACGCCATCAACCACCCGGAGAACATCCAGCCGGACCTTCACACTCCCGGTTCGCCGCTGCCTGCCTCCGTCTACGCGCAGGACGTGGGCTACTTGGTGGACGGCACGCCCATGAGCACTGCCGGCAACCTCTCCGTCCAGCAGTAGTCGTTCGACAACTGATCTTTTGAGTCGGTGGACAGGCCGGCTTCTATGTCGATAATCGTGAGGTGTGCGCAGACACTCAAGTCGATAGGATTGCGTGTACTGCTGGGAGCAGAAGCTTGCAAGCCAGGTCGAGTTAGCCCCACCGTTCTGGTACTTGATGAACGAACAGGCTTCATCAAGGGTTCCCTGGTTTTGCATGATGCTTCCTTAATCTGCAGCCTTTGGACAGCTTTGCTTGTGAGTTTCCCTAGTTTCAATTGAGTCAAAATAACAGAGCTTGGCTCGAGATAGCAGGCCGCCTTGAGGCCGCCTTCGATGTCTTCAGCTTTGCTTGCCAGACTTAACACAAGTCATGGCTTGGCACAAGTGATTGGAGCGATCAGCTCACCCAGTGCATTACAAAAGGCGGCTTCTGAGCTCGGCCCTGTGCACAGGCTTGTGGCTTGGGTGTTAGGGATTATTTTGAAGGTGTAAATTGGTCATGACTGCCCTTCAACGCGGCGATTCTGTCGCGAAAGCTTCGTGTTCATCCCCGCAGCTGCTTCACAGGACATATTTGTGACAAGGGTGCTTTGAGATAGCTTCTTGGACCAATGGCGCAGCGCACGCCGGCGACCCTGGCGCTGGGCGGCTTGGCCGGTGGGCTGGCCTACTTGAGCTCGGGCAGCCAGGCCTTTGCAGCTGCGCCGGCGACCTCGAACCTCCGCCAGCAGCGTGCGGCACATGCAGCACAGGCGCCTTCGTCCTTGACCTCCACATCCCTGCCAGCCATGATGGCGGGTGGCGTGGTCCTTGCCGCCGCTGCCACCTCTGGACGTGGCACCCGCTCGCGTGGCAGCGCACCCGCCCGCGCGGTCACTCCTTACGAGTTGCAGGAGAACGTCTATGCCGACCTCGAGTTCACCAACGACATCGGCTACCTGCCTGATGGCACTCCCATGAACCGGGCAGGCAACGCCATCAACCACCCAGAGACCATCGGCCCTGACAGTCACGCTCCGGGCTCCCCTCTGCCACGCGCTCACTTCGTGAACTCCGTGGGTTACCTGCCCGATGGCACTCCTCTGAATGCAGCCGGCAATGCCATCAACCACCCGGAGACCATGCAGCCGGACTCTCACACACCAGGTTCTCCTCTACCAGCGTCCACGTACGCGGCGGACATCGGCTACCTGGTGGATGGCACGCCCATGGAGACGGCCGGCAACAACTCTGTGAGGGGTGGCGCCACGCCTCCACCTGCACCTCCAGTGGCGGCCGCGGCATTCGTTGGCTCCAGTGCACCAGCATCTACGCCCGCACCAGCACCAGCTGCACCGACACCTGCACCTGCAGTGGCTGCGCCCGGTGCTCCTCGCACTGCCATGTACGGGAGGAAGTTTGAATACAGCTTCCAGAAGGATGCCTTCGCCGAGTACGAGTTCAGCAACGATGTGGGCTATCTTCCCGACGGCACTCCCATGAACAGGGCGGGCAATGCCATCAACCATCCGGAAAGTATTGGTCCGGACAGCCATGCTCCTGGCTCACCGTTGCCCAGGGCCAACTTTGTCAATTCCATCGGCTACTTGCCGGATGGCACTCCCATGAATGCAGCTGGCAACGCCATCAACCACCCGGAGACCATGCAGCCAGACCTTCACACGCCAGGCTCTCCTCTGCCAGAGTCTGTGTATGCAGCCGACGTGGGCTACTTGGTGGATGGCACTCCCCTGGAGACGGCCGGCAACAACTCAGTCAGGGGTGGCGCCGTGCCCGCGTCAGCTCCTGCAGCGGCTCCGGCACCCTCTGCCCCGACACCTCAGCCTGTGGTCGCAGCGGCCTTCGTCGGCTCGTCGGCAGGGACCTCATCCAAAGTCAGGCACGCCGGGAACTTCGCCTACTCCTTCCAGAAGGACTCCTGGGCCGACCTGGAGTTCAGCAACGACATCGGCTACCTGCCGGACGGCACGCCCATGAACAAGGCCGGGAATGCAATCAACCACCCGGAGAACATTCAGCCAGACAGCCATGCTCCGGGATCTCCGTTGCCTTCCGCCATCTTCGTGAACGATGTCGGCTACCTCCCAGACGGCACCCCGCTCAACAAGGCCGGCAACGCCATTAACCACCCGGAGAACATCCAGCCGGATCTTCACACTCCCGGTTCTCCGCTGCCTGCCTCCGTCTACGCGCAGGACGTGGGCTACTTGGTTGACGGAACGCCCATGAGCAGTGCTGGCAACCTCTCCGTCCAGCAGTAGGTGAGCTGTGAGCAGACACTCAGGTCGACAGGATGGCAAAGGGTAGAAGCGAAGTGCTTGGTGCAGCCCCGCTGCACTTGATGAACGAACAGACTTTATCAAGTATACCTGGTTTTGCATGATGTTGGATGTGGAGCATCCAAAGCACTCATCCGTTTTACTGTGCAGCCTTTGAGTTTGGTTATGAGTTTCCCTGCTGAGCAAAGTCAAGCAGGAGTTTCAAAAGAGTCTAAACAGAGCGTGGCTCGAGAAGGGTTCCCTGGCATTGCACGGTGCTTCCTTATTAGCCTTTCGACAGCTTTGCTTGTCAATTTCTCTAAGAGTTTCAATTGGGTCGAAATAACAGAGCTTGGCTCGAGATAGTAGGCCGCCTTGAGGCCGCCTTCGATGTCTTCAGTTTTGCTTGCCAGACTTAACACAAGTCATGGCTTGGCACAAGTGATTGGAGCGATCAGCTCACCCAGTGCGTTGCAAAAAGGCAGCTTCCTTTGCACGTGGCAGTACCAGGGAAGCAGTGACAGATCGCTCGTCGGAGCAGCGAAAAGCTCGTATTAATGACCGTAGCCGTTCCACAGGGCACATTTGAGACAAGGGTGCTCTACAGTTCCTGAGCAGATGGCGCAGCGCGCGTCGACCCTGGCGCTGGGCGGCTTGGCCGGTGGGCTGGCATACTTGAGCTCAGGCAGTCAGGCCTTTGCAGCAGCGCCGGCTACTTCGAACCTCCGCCAGCAGCGTGCAAGCCATGCAGCGCAGGCGCCTGCGTCCTCGGCTTCCACATCCCTGCCAGCCATGATGGCTGGTGGCGCGGTTCTCGCCGCAGCTGCTGCATCTGGGCGCACCAGCCGCTCGCATGGCAGCACGCCCCTCCCAACCACCGTGCCAGTGAGGAAATCGGCCACGGCCCGCAAGGCCCTGGACCAGTCCAGCCGTTACGCCGACCTGTCGCTAGATGAGGCCACGCTCATCAAGAAGCTTTGCTGCAATGAAGCACTACTGATCACTTCTTCCATTTCTTCCAGTCTTCGTGTGAAAGGAATCTCTGCTTGTAGGTGGCAACATGGTAGTGAGGTGGGTCGTAGTTGTTGGTGCAATCTCAGGAATGGCAAGCACGTGTTGGTGGCGTACATCATGAAGCCGAAGGCAGGATACGATTACCTGGCCACCGCGGCACACTTTGCCGCCGAGTCCTCCACGGGCACCAACGTGAACGTGTGCACCACGGACGACTTTACCAAGTCCGTGGATGCTCTGGTGTACTACATCGACCCCGACAGCGAGGAGATGAAGATCGCCTACCCAAATCTGTTGTTCGACCGGAACATCATCGATGGCCGCGCCATGATGTGCTCCTTCCTGACCTTATCCATCGGCAACAACCAGGGTTTGGAGCCTATTTTCGTTTGCGGATGTCTGTGACATGTTCTGAAGCCACGCTTGACATGTTGCTTAGTTCCATGCCGAGAGTATGTGACAGCTTGGGCTGAGGTATGGGCGACGTCGAGTACGGCAAGATCTACGACTTCTACTTGCCGCCTGAGTTCCTCCGCCTGTACGACGGCCCGGCCGTGAACGTGGAAGACATGTGGCGCATCCTGGGCAAGGGCACCAGCAACGGTGGCCTCGTGGTGGGCACCATCATCAAGCCCAAACTCGGCCTGCAGCCCAAGCCATTCGGCGAGGCCTGCTACGCGTTCTGGCAGGGTGGCGACTTCATCAAGAACGATGAGCCCCAGGGCAACCAGGTGTTCTGCCAGATGAACGAGGTCATCCCAGAGGTTGTGAAGGCCATGAGGGCCTGCATCAAGGAGACCGGGGTGGGTAAGCTGTTCTCTGCCAACATCACGGCGGATGATCCCAACGAGATGATCGCCCGCGGCAAGTACTGTCTGTCCCAGTTCGGTCCTTTGTCCGAGAATTGCGCATTCTTGGTGGACGGATACGTTGCGGGAGGCACGGCCGTGACCTGCGCCCGCCGCAACTTCCCAGGACAGTTCCTGCACTACCACCGTGCCGGACATGGATCCGTGACTAGCCCCCAGACCCAGCGTGGTTACACCGCCTTCGTGCACACCAAGATCTCCCGAGTCATCGGCGCGTCCGGCATCCACACCGGCACCATGAGCTTCGGCAAGATGGAGGGCGATGCCTCCGACAAGAACATTGCTTTCATGCTGCAGGACGATGCGGCCGATGGCCCGTACTATCACCAGCCGTGGGAAGGCATGAAGCAGACGACCCCCATCATCTCTGGCGGCATGAATGCACTCCGCTTGCCGGCCTTCTTCGAGAACTTGGGCCACTCCAACGTGATCCTCACCGCCGGTGGCGGCTCTTTCGGACACAAGGATGGCCCCAAGCCCGGCGCCGTCTCGTGCCGCCAGGGAGAGGAGGCCTGGAAGGCCTGGAAGGCTGGCCAGTACGGCAACATCAGCTTGAGTGACGGCGTCATTGAGTTCGCAAAGACGCACGAGGAGATCAAGGGTGCTTTCCTGACCTTCCAGAAGGACGCCGACCAGATCTACCCGGGATGGAAGGAGAAGCTGGGCTACACGGGCGAGTCTTCGGTGCAGGCGGCCAGCTTCGACTGGGCCAAGAAGGCATCTGCCGCTGCCTTCGTGGGCTGCAGTGTCCCAGAGCGCACGGTCCAGGTCGCCCGGGCGGTCACTCCGTACGAGTTGCAGAAAAAAGTCTATGCCGACCTCGAGTTCACCAACGACGTCGGCTACCTGCCTGATGGCACTCCCATGAACCGGGCAGGCAACGCCATCAACCACCCGGAGACCATCGGCCCTGACAGGCACGCTCCGGGCTCCCCTCTGCCGCGCGCCCTCTTCGTGAACTCTGTGGGTTACCTGCCCGATGGCACTCCTCTGAATGCAGCCGGCAACGCCATCAACCACCCGGAGACCATGCAGCCAGACTCTCACACGCCCGGTTCTCCTTTGCCCACGTCCGCGTATGCAGCTGACATCGGCTACCTGGTGGATGGCACTCCCATGGAGACGGCCGGCAACAACTCTGTGAGGGGTGGCGCCACTCCGGCAGCAGCACCTGCCGCCGCAGCTCAATCATTCGGGACTTCTGCCCCTCCGATGGCAGCCGCAAGTCATGCTGCAGTTGCAGGTGGTCTCTTGCATGGCCGCCAGTTCGACTACAGCTACCAGAAGGACGTGTATGCTGACCTGGAGTTCAGCAATGATGTTGGCTACTTGCCCGATGGCACTCCGATGAACAGGGCAGGGAATGCGATCAACCACCCGGAGAACATTCAGCCGGACAGGCACACTCCGGGTTCGCCTCTGCCTAGGGCTGAGTTTGTGAATTCCGTCGGATACTTACCGGACGGCACCCCCCTGAATGCAGCGGGAAATGCCATCAATCATCCAGAGACCATGCAGCCTGATCTCCACACACCAGGATCCCCACTGCCGGCCTCCGCCTATGCTGCAGACATTGGGTACCTGGTCGATGGGACCCCGCTGGAGTCAGCTGGTAACAACTCCGTGAAAGCGCCTCATATGGCAGCCGCAGCATTCGTCAGCTCGACATCCAGCCCTAGCCCGGCACCCACACCGCCCGCCCCTGCCTTCGCCGGCTCCTCGGCAGGGACTTCATCCAAAGTCAGGCACGCCGGGAATTTCGCCTACTCCTTCCAGAAGGACTCCTGGGCCGACCTGGAGTTCAGCAACGACATCGGCTACCTGCCGGATGGCACGCCCATGAACAAGGCCGGGAATGCGATCAACCACCCGGAGAACATTCAGCCGGACAGCCATGCTCCGGGATCTCCCTTGCCTTCCGCCATCTTCGTGAACGATGTCGGCTACCTCCCAGACGGCACCCCGCTCAACAAGGCCGGCAACGCCATCAACCACCCGGAGAACATCCAGCCGGACCTTCACACTCCCGGTTCGCCGCTGCCTGCCTCCGTCTACGCGCAGGACGTGGGCTACTTGGTGGACGGCACGCCCATGAGCACTGCCGGCAATCTCTCTGTGCAACAGTAAGCATGCAAGGACAAGGTTTCTAAAGTTTCATTGAGGTGTGAGCCTTCAGTTTTCCCAGTTTTCCTTTGGAAAGCTCGCCAGACTTAAGACAAGTCATGGCTTGGCATGAACGGAGCGGACCAGCAAAAGGAAGGGCTTCCTTTGAAAGCAGAAGGCAGAGTAAAGGTCTGCAAGTGGCAGGTTCAGCATGGTTCCATGTTCAACCTGCAGGGGCTGGCGCCAAAATTCAAGACTTCTTGTGCCGAGCATGCGGGTTGCATAGTCTGCATTCCCGAACCCAGGCTTAACATGGGAAAACATGGGCCCCACCGTGTTGCGGGTGTTGTGCAAGAAAGAATTGCTTTTCGTATGGTGTCGAGTAAATTACATAAGGGCCACGCTGCACTGGAATATTTTCCCCTCTCCCCCCAGTGTGCTCCTCCGGCTCATCATGCTATTTGTTTTTGCTATTCTTCTTGACCTGGGACCTGGGGCCCTAACTCGAGTGATGCATAAGCTCTCACACACTCGAAAAAGTCCTGCAACTATATGTTCTCTGGCTAGGCTGACGCAAAAAGGCGGTTTTCCCTTGTCGGCCAGATGTGATTGGGCATCCTTGCCACACACCTGTGTCTACATCGGAGGACACAACTTTTGTTGCCTCTGCAAGTGGCATGCTGAGTCAAGTCTCTGCAGCTATTGGAGCAACAAGCAAGCAAGCAGCGTAGTATTTGTGCTTTGTCGGCGACTTCCACCGGTTGTGATGGCACAGCACACATCGGCCAGCTTGGCGCTGGGCGGCTTGGTTGGTGGGCTGGCATACTTGAGCTCGGGCAGCCAGGCCTTTGCAGCTGCGCCGGCGACCTCGAACCTCCGCCAGCAGCGTGCGGCGCATGCAGCGCAGGCGCCGTCATCCTTGACCTCCACATCCCTGCCAGCCATGATGGCGGGTGGCGTGGTCCTTGCCGCCGCTGCCACCTCTGGACGTGGCACCCGCTCGCGTGGCAGCGCACCCGCCCGCGCGGTCACTCCTTACGAGTTGCAGGAGAACGTCTATGCCGACCTTGAGTTCACCAACGACGTCGGCTACCTGCCTGATGGCACTCCCATGAACCGGGCAGGCAACGCCATCAACCACCCGGAGACCATCGGCCCTGACAGTCACGCTCCGGGCTCCCCTCTGCCACGCGCTCACTTCGTGAACTCTGTGGGTTACCTGCCCGATGGCACTCCTCTGAATGCAGCCGGCAATGCCATCAACCACCCGGAGACCATGCAGCCGGACTCTCACACGCCCGGTTCTCCTTTGCCCGCATCCGCGTATGCAGCCGACATCGGCTACCTGGTGGATGGCACTCCGATGGAGACGGCTGGCAACAACTCTGTGAGGGGTGGCGCCACGCCTCCACCATCACCTCCAGTGGCGGCCGCGGCATTCGTTGGCTCCAGTGCGCCAGCATCTACGCCCGCACCAGCACCAGCTGCACCGACACCTGCTCCTGCAGTGGCTGCGCCGGGTGCCCCTCGCACTGCCATGTACGGGAGGAAGTTTGAATACAGCTTCCAGAAGGATGCCTTCGCCGACTGCGAGTTCAGCAACGACGTGGGCTATCTTCCCGACGGCACTCCAATGAACAAGGCGGGCAATGCCATCAACCATCCGGAGAGTATTGGTCCGGACAGCCATGCACCTGGCTCACCGTTGCCCAGGGCCAACTTTGTCAATTCCATCGGCTACTTGCCAGATGGCACTCCCATGAATGCAGCTGGCAACGCCATCAACCACCCGGAGACCATGCAGCCAGACCTTCACACGCCAGGCTCTCCTTTGCCAGAGTCTGTGTATGCAGCCGACGTGGGCTATTTGGTGGATGGCACTCCCCTGGAGACGGCCGGCAACAACTCTGTGAGGGGTGGCGCCACGCCTCCACCATCACCTCCAGTGGCGGCCGCGGCATTCGTTGGCTCCAGTGCGCCAGCATCTACGCCCGCACCAGCACCAGCTGCACCGACACCTGCTCCTGCAGTGGCTGCGCCCGGTGCCCCTCGCACTGCCATGTACGGGAGGAAGTTTGAATACAGCTTCCAGAAGGATGCCTTCGCCGACTGCGAGTTCAGCAACGACGTGGGCTATCTTCCCGACGGCACTCCAATGAACAAGGCGGGCAATGCCATCAACCATCCGGAGAGTATTGGTCCGGACAGCCATGCACCTGGCTCACCGTTGCCCAGGGCCAACTTTGTCAATTCCATCGGCTACTTGCCAGATGGCACTCCCATGAATGCAGCTGGCAACGCCATCAACCACCCGGAGACCATGCAGCCAGACCTTCACACGCCAGGCTCTCCTTTGCCAGAGTCTGTGTATGCAGCCGACGTGGGCTATTTGGTGGATGGCACTCCCCTGGAGACGGCCGGCAACAACTCAGTCAGGGGTGGCGCCGTACCCGCGTCAGCTCCTGCAGCGGCTCCGGCACCCTCTGCCCCGACACCTCAGCCTGTGGTCGCAGCGGCCTTCGTCGGCTCGTCGGCAGGGACCTCATCCAAAGTCAGGCACGCCGGGAACTTCGCCTACTCCTTCCAGAAGGACTCCTGGGCCGACCTGGAGTTCAGCAACGACATCGGCTACCTGCCGGACGGCACGCCCATGAACAAGGCCGGGAATGCGATCAACCACCCGGAGAACATTCAGCCGGACAGCCATGCTCCGGGATCTCCGTTGCCTTCCGCCATCTTCGTGAACGATGTCGGCTACCTGCCAGACGGCACCCCGCTCAACAAGGCCGGCAACGCCATCAACCACCCGGAGAACATCCAGCCGGACCTTCACACTCCCGGTTCGCCGCTGCCTGCCTCCGTCTACGCGCAGGACGTGGGCTACCTTGTGGATGGCACGCCCATGAGCACTGCCGGCAACCTCTCCGTCCAGCAGTAAGGACGTAGTTTCTACAGTTTCATTGAGGTGTGAACAGACACTCCAGCTCCTTGCTTAATCTAATCAGAGCTTTGAGAGAGGAGGCCGCCTTGAAAGCGCGCCTTCCAGTTCTTGGAGCTCAGTAGTCGGGTTTTCAGGAGCGTAGCTCGCCAGACTTAACAGAAGTCATGGCTTGGCACACGTGATTGGAGCGGTCAGCTCACCGAGTGCGCCACACAAATGTTTGCTTGTTTGAGCTTGGCCATGCACAGGCGCTTATCAGTGGGCAGAGCCAGAGCGAGGGAAGCAGCAACATGCGCCAGTCTTCAGCGCAGCAGCTCTGTTGCGAAACTCTGTATCTACTTTGCAGCTTCTCCACAGGTTATATTTGCGAGAAGTGCTCTAATAGTTCCTGCGCAGATGGCGCAGCGCACGTCGGCGACCTTGGCCCTGGGCGGCTTGGCCGGTGGGCTGGCGTACTTGAGCTCGGGCAGCCAGGCTTTTGCAGCTGCGCCGGCGACCACGAACCTCCGGCAGCAGCATGCAGCCCATGCAGCGCAGGCGCCTGCGTCCTCGGCTTCCACATCCCTGCCAGCCATGATGGCTGGTGGCGCGGTTCTCGCCGCAGCTGCTGCCTCTGGACGCACCAGCCGCTCGCATGGCAGCACGCCCCTCCCAACCACCGTGCCAGTGAGGAAATCGGCCACGGCCCGCAAGGCCCTGGACCAGTCCAGCCGTTACGCCGACCTGTCGCTAGATGAGGCCACGCTCATCAAGAAGCTTTGCTGCAATGAAGCACTACTGATCAATTCTTCCATTTCTTCCAGTCTTCGTGTGAAAGGAATCTCTGCTTGTAGGTGGCAACATGGTAGTGAGGTGGGTCGTAGTTGTTGGTGCAATCTCAGGAATGGCAAGCACGTGTTGGTGGCGTACATCATGAAGCCGAAGGCAGGATACGATTACCTGGCCACCGCGGCACACTTTGCCGCCGAGTCCTCCACGGGCACCAACGTGAACGTGTGCACCACGGACGACTTTACCAAGTCCGTGGATGCTCTGGTGTACTACATCGACCCCGACAGCGAGGAGATGAAGATCGCCTACCCAAATCTGTTGTTCGACCGCAACATCATCGATGGCCGCGCCATGATGTGCTCCTTCCTGACCCTATCCATCGGCAACAACCAGGGTTTGGAGCCTATTTTCGTTTGCGGATGTCTGTGACATGTTCTGAAGCCACGCTTGACATGTTGCTTAGTTCCATGCCGAGAGTATGTGACAGCTTGGGCTGAGGTATGGGCGACGTCGAGTACGGCAAGATCTACGACTTCTACTTGCCGCCTGAGTTCCTCCGCCTGTACGACGGCCCGGCCGTGAACGTGGAAGACATGTGGCGCATCCTGGGCAAGGGCACCAGCAACGGTGGCCTCGTGGTGGGCACCATCATCAAGCCCAAGCTCGGCCTGCAGCCCAAGCCATTCGGCGAGGCCTGCTACGCGTTCTGGCAGGGTGGCGACTTCATCAAGAACGATGAGCCCCAGGGCAACCAGGTGTTCTGCCAGATGAACGAGGTCATCCCAGAGGTTGTGAAGGCCATGAGGGCCTGCATCAAGGAGACCGGGGTGGGTAAGCTGTTCTCTGCCAACATCACGGCGGATGATCCCAACGAGATGATCGCCCGCGGCAAGTACTGTCTGTCCCAGTTCGGTCCTTTGTCCGAGAATTGCGCATTCTTGGTGGACGGATACGTTGCGGGAGGCACGGCCGTGACCTGCGCCCGCCGCAACTTCCCAGGACAGTTCCTGCACTACCACCGTGCCGGACATGGATCCGTGACTAGCCCCCAGACCCAGCGTGGTTACACCGCCTTCGTGCACACCAAGATCTCCCGAGTCATCGGCGCGTCCGGCATCCACACCGGCACCATGAGCTTCGGCAAGATGGAGGGCGATGCCTCCGACAAGAACATTGCTTTCATGCTGCAGGACGATGCGGCCGATGGCCCGTACTATCACCAGCCGTGGGAAGGCATGAAGCAGACGACCCCTATCATCTCTGGCGGCATGAACGCACTCCGCTTGCCGGCCTTCTTCGAGAACTTGGGCCACTCCAACGTGATCCTCACCGCCGGTGGCGGCTCTTTCGGACACAAGGATGGCCCCAAGCCCGGCGCCGTCTCGTGCCGCCAGGGAGAGGAGGCCTGGAAGGCCTGGAAGGCTGGCCAGTACGGCAACATCAGCTTGAGTGACGGCGTCATTGAGTTCGCAAAGACGCACGAGGAGATCAAGGGTGCTTTCCTGACCTTCCAGAAGGACGCCGACCAGATCTACCCGGGATGGAAGGAGAAGCTGGGCTACACGGGCGAGTCCTCGGTGCAGGCGGCCAGCTTCGACTGGGCCAAGAAGGCATCTGCCGCTGCCTTCGTGGGCTGCAGTGCCCCAGAGCGCACGGTCCAGGTCGCCCGGGCGGTCACTCCGTACGAGTTGCAGGAGAACGTCTATGCCGACCTCGAGTTCACCAACGACGTCGGCTACCTGCCTGATGGCACTCCCATGAACCGGGCAGGCAACGCCATCAACCACCCGGAGACCATCGGCCCTGACAGTCACGCTCCGGGCTCCCCTCTGCCACGCGCTCACTTCGTGAACTCTGTGGGTTACCTGCCCGATGGCACTCCTCTGAATGCAGCCGGCAACGCCATCAACCACCCGGAGACCATGCAGCCGGACTCTCACACGCCCGGTTCTCCTCTGCCAGCGTCCGCGTATGCAGCTGACATCGGCTACCTGGTGGATGGCACTCCGATGGAGACGGCTGGCAACAACTCTGTGAGGGGTGGTGCTGCGCCCGCAGCTGCCCCTGCACAGGCGCCCGTGGTTGCGGCGGCCGCCTTTGTCGGCTCCTCGGCAGCGACCCCCTCCAAGGTCAGGCACGCTGGAAACTTCGCCTACTCCTTCCAGAAGGACTCCTGGGCCGACCTGGAGTTTAGCAACGACATCGGCTACCTGCCGGACGGCACGCCCATGAACAAGGCCGGGAATGCGATCAACCACCCGGAGAACATTCAGCCGGACAGCCATGCTCCGGGATCTCCGTTGCCTTCCGCCATCTTCGTGAACGATGTCGGCTACCTGCCAGACGGCACCCCGCTCAACAAGGCCGGCAACGCCATCAACCACCCGGAGAACATCCAGCCGGACCTTCACACTCCCGGTTCGCCGCTGCCTGCCTCCGTCTATGCGCAGGACGTGGGCTACCTTGTGGACGGGACGCCCATGAGCAGTGCTGGCAACCTTTCTGTGCAGCAGTGAGCACATTAGTGGGAGTTTTCATTGTTTTCCCACAAGTGCTCACAAGCACATGCTCCTTAGACTGTAGAATTATTTTAAGTGCCGATGCTGGTGAGTCTCACATGGGCTCCGTCAAGCGGCAAGGCATGAATCAGATTTTGTATCGGCCTGTCATCAATTCTTCAACGGCTGCTGTGGGGAGGGCAAACCTCTGGATTCAGCCGAGGTGAGCTCATGGCTCCATGTCAGCCTGTTGGCATTCCACCCTGCCAGCGCTCTTCCACTCCTCTTGCTCCTCTTGCGGGACAGCATGGCCCAATATTGAGCCGATTACCGCGACGTTGGAGCCGAACGGCACTGCGCACGCGGAAAACCAGATGCCTTTGCACGGGTCATGCTACTTAGGTTTAAAGCCGGCCGAGTAGAGTTCGAAAGAGCATAAGGAGCTATGCCATCACTTAGAGCCCTCTGTGATGCCAACGTGATGCCTCTACGGGTGAGGTTTGAGTGTCTGCCTGAGGCCTGGATCTGCACGGCACCTCTGGCGCTGCGCCCTGAACAGGGTCTCCAGGGGCCGGCTCAGCTCCGCCTTCGGTGTAAAATGGTGTAAACATCATGGAGACTTCGCTTGCAGCAGCCTGCGTGGAAAAGCCTTCTTGCTTTTGGCAGTTTGGTTGTTACGCTGTGGGCGACGAATCAGGCAAGTTCTGACGCTGTGGCCAGGATCAAATGGCGGTGTTAGGTTGGTAGCCCACCTGCTATAAGAGCGGCAGACAAAATTGCCGCAGCCTCTTGCGACGTACGCCAGTTGCAGCAACTCCTTTGCCAAGCAAGGGCGAGTGACTTCGTTAAGGGTTTGTATTACTTTAAGTCTGCTCAGTCACAATGTCCATTCCATGGATGCCCAAGGAAGTGCCGGGGCCTCGGGTTGTGCACCTGTTGTGCTGCCGACCATTCTGCAGTCAGTTTCTTAGCCCCCCAAGGTCTCTGTCAATGTTCGCATCTCACGAAGCTGTTTAAACTCACCATCCATAACTGGTCCGTCTTTTCGGGCTTCAGGGTCTTGGAGCGCCTGAAGCCTGGGCCGACCGAGCCTCCACAATCCCCTCCAGCGAGGTCTCACCGGCTGTTCGAGCGGCCACATGAGATGATCAATGCGCGGGCTTCAGTCCTGGCCCAGCCTGCAGCATCCCTGCCCCCCAGCAGCCGAGGCTCCAAACCCGCCCCCACATCCTGAGGTCAAGACCACCTACCTGCTCTCCACAGCAGCCGTGGCCGGCTTCCTCGCGCGGGAGGATGGCAAGCGCCCGGCCGCCCAGCAGGGCCTGTAGGAATTTGTAGGAGCTCAGGGTCCATAGGATCCGGTTAGTGTATGCGAGGCAACCTTTCGGGTTTAGTTTGCACAAGCGAGGAAGAACTTTTTACACTCGCTGCTCGGGTATTCTCTGCAACATGAGCTAGTGCCAAGGGTTCTTTGGGGCGCGTGAACTGTTGAAACAAAAATCATGGTGAGCTGTGTTTCTCTTTTGCCGGGGGGCCAACCTTGAGAACCTCAAGCTCTCAACTGGCCTAAGGCCCTGCCTGGTGCCGCCGGCTCGGTGTTGGGCTGTGTTCACAAGAAAGACACGAAGCCCCGGCTTCGATCTCCAACGCTTTTGCCCTACTAGGAGCTCCCAGGCCACGGGTTCGCCAACCAGTTCCTTTAGGCGGCATCTTGCAGAAGCCCACAGAGGAGAAGGGAAGGAATGGTAAGAGAAAAAGAGGAGAATCAGAGGATTTTTTTGTGAGACGAGGCCGAAAGAATGCCGAAAGAATGCCGAAACAAGTTGAAAGAATGGAAGGGGAGCCTGAGTACGAAGAAGATGAAGCAACAACCAGTAGTAGAGAGCAGAGCCTCAGGCCGGAGACCGATGGAGTCGGAAGAAACCAAGAAAGCTGAGGAACGGAGGATGCCTACTTAGTGCAAGTCGTGTAAGACGAGCCAGTGGGCAGGAGAAGCTTTCGGCGCGTTACGATATTGTGTAAGAGTAAGCATGCCCTTCCACGACGTCCCATATGTTTGGCGAGGATTTGGCTCAAAATGGTTTTGAGCATCTAAACATAAACATTTCTACACATGCGAGACGAGAGATTGTGGCGTTTTGCCTTCATGAAAGACAGGTTCAATCGGGCGCGGCTGATGCCTGTCAGCGCCCTGACGCCCTGGGCTCACATGGTACTGGGTGTGGACATCTGCTTGTGTTTGAGCTGGCTGGTTCAGCAGGTTCAGGGGCCACTGTCACAACTTAAGTTTTCCCCGAACAGGAACCGTTTGGGGTCCTCTCCTCAGAAAAAGTGTCACGCGCTTGGCTAGATCGGTGTCACGTCCGTGGTCTCCCGTGGTCTCCGACCATGAGCGACTGGGTTGGGCGTGTGTCACACGGTTTGGGTCCGTGGTCCCACGGTCCGGCCAACATGCCCTGTCGAGCCTAACTTGAAGCCCGGATCCGGCCAAACCTGCCCCGATGTGCCCAACTTGAAACCCGGATCCGGCCAACATGTCCCTGATGGGCCCCAACTAACTTGAAACCCGGATCCGGCCAACATGCCCCTGTTGGGTCCAACTTGAAACCCGGATCCGGCCAACATGCCCCGGTCGAGCCCAACTTGAAACCTGGATTTGGGCAACATGAATCTGACGGGTCCAACTTGAAGCCCGGATCCGGCCAACATGGCCCGGTCGAGCCCAACTTGAAACGTGGATTTGGCCAACATGCCCCTGATGAGTCCCAACTTTTAATCCGGATCCGGCCAACATGCCTTGTTGAACCCAACTTGAAACCCCAACATGCCCCTTATGAACCCAACTTGAAAGTCGGATCCGGCCAACATGCCCCTGTCGAGCCCAACTCGAAACCCGGACTCGGCCAACGCGGCCCTGGTCACTCCAACTTGAAACCCGGACCCGGCCAACATGCCCTGATGAGCCCAACTTGAAACCCGTATGCGGCCAACATGCCGCTTATGGGCCCAACTTGAAACCCGGATCCGGCCAACACGCCGCTGCCGATCCCAACTTAACAGCCGGATCCGGCCAACAGTCGGCAACATGTCCCTGTTGAGCCCAGCTTGCATCCCGGATCCGGCCAACAGTCGGCAACATGCCCCTGTTGAGCCCAATTTGAAATCTTGGCTTGAAACCCGACATCAGGGCTCAGATGGGGTGTGACGTCATCGTGGGTCTAGAACGGTTGTGAATCTATAAGGGTTGTGAATATGACCCTGCGACCAGTGAAACACGTTCCGTAAAAGAGGTGGTTTAAGTACATTGAGCTGTTTATCCCTATGCTGGCAACGTACTCATGGGTTGTGAATATGCCCCTGCGACCAGCCCTGAAAACTTGTGTTTTAACGTGCCACCATTGATATTTCCCCTGCGACCAATTAGCTCGCACCATGGCTCGAGCTATTGGGTCATCAGGGCGCAGATGGGGTGCTAGCTGCTCATGATGTCACCCTATACGAGCGCGACGGGAGGGGACACGCGACAAACTTCGAGGGCCCTCACCAAGCCCTACGCGCAAAGGGAGGGGACATACGACAAACCCCGTAGGGATATGTGTTTACTTCTAAAGGTTGTGAATCTCAGTCCTTGGGTGCTATTTGAGTACGCTCGGTCCCGCAAAGCAAGATGCTAGTTGAACACGCTCGGTCCCCAAGGGTGCTATTTGAGTGTGCTCAAATAGCTCGGGCCAATAGCTCGCGCCTGGGGTTTTTTGTCACCTTCTAGAATCTTTTCACAGAGCAAGCAGAGTTGGGCAAATAATGGGCGCGGACCTGAGGACCCCCAAATTTTTCACTTCTGGCAATCACAGACACAAGCGCCGACCATGGAGAACATCGAGAAAGCGTGCGCGCATTGGTTTCCGGGCATTTGGGAAATACAAAGGTTTTCAAAGAAGCAAAACCGTCATGCCTCGGAGCCTCGCATCTTCTTGCAAGTTGGCCATTGTTGTATGGGCGAGAGGGGGAGCTCTGGCGCGAGCTATTTGGTCATCAGGGCGCAGATGGGGTGCTAGGTGCTTACGATGAAAGCCAAAATACTGTGCTGGTAGCGCAATCGTGGCTCCATACTGATTGTGACTGTGCCCTTGCGACCAGCAAAATACGTTCCGTAAAGGAAGTGGTTTGAGAACATTGAGATGTTTATCCCTGTGCTGGTAACGTAATCGTGGCTCCACAAAGGTTGTAGATATGCCCCTGCGAACAGCCCTGAAAACTTGTGTTTTAACGTGCCAAAAAACCCATGGATGTATCCCCTGCGACCAAATAGCTTGCGCCACGGCGCGAGCTATTTGGTCATCAGGGCGCAGATGGGTGCTAGTTGCTTACGATGTCACCCGACGAGCACGAAGGGAGGGGACAAAGTGCTGTCCCCAAGACTTCGGTGCTTTTGAGATTTGATTACGCTCAGGTCCTTACAAAGCCGGATGCTAGTTGAACACGCTCGAAGACTTGGGTGTTAATTTGAGTACGCTCGGTCCCCAAAAAGCAGGATGCTAGTTGAACAACCTCGCTCCTCAAGACTTGGGTGAATAGTTGGCGCCTGGGGTGTTTTAACGCTCGTTTTTAAATTAAATTTTGGCAACCAAAAACACAAGCGCCGACCATGGAAAACATCGAGAAAGCGTGCCCGGATTTGTTTCCGGGCATTTGGGAGATACAAAAGTTTACAAAGAAGCAAAAACCGTCATGCCTCGGAGCTTCGCGTGGCAAACGTCTTTTTTGCAAGTTGGCCTCTGGCGCGAGCTGTTGGGTCATCCGGGCGCAGATGGGGTGCTAGCTGCTTACGATGGAAAGCCAAAATACTGTGCTGGTAGCGCAATCGTGGCTCTATACTGATTGTGACTGTGCCCTTGCGACCAGCAAAATACGTTCCGTAAAGGAAGTGGTTTGAGAACATTGAGATGTTTATCCCTGTGCTGGTAACGTAATCGTGGCTCCACAAGGGTTGTAGATATGCCCCTGCGAACAGCCCTGAAAACTTGTGTGTTTTCACGTGCTAAAAAAACCCATGGATGTATCCCCTGCGACCGAATAGCTTGCGCCACGGCACGAGCTATTTGGTCATCAGGGCGCAGATGGGTGCTGGTTGCTTACGATGTCACCCTACGAGCACGAAGGGAGGGGACGTGCGACAAATTTCTAGGGCCTCACCAAACCCTACGAGAACAAAGGGGGGGGACATACCACAAATCTCTAAGGGATATGTTGTCACTTTACAATCTTTACTGTACAAAGTTCTGAATCCCAAAGCTTGGGCGCTGTTTGAGTACGCTCGGCCCCCAAAAAGCAGGATGCTAGTTGAAGACGCTCGGTCCCCAAAACTTGGGTACGCTCGGCCCCGCAAAGCAGATGCTAGTTGAACACACTCGGTCCCCCATACGTGGGTGCTATTTAAGAACGCTCGGTCCCTAAAAGCAGGATGCTAGTTGAACACGCTCATACTTTTCGCACACACAAGGACCAACCAAGACGCCTCTCTGAAACCTTCAAACCTCGCACTCTGGGCCCTTCAAGCACGTTATGGTTTTAGGGCTTTCAGGCCTAACCTCGAGGCGCCCGCACCCTACGAGCACGAAGGGAGGGGACATGCGACAAACTTCTAGGGCCCTGCACCAAACCTTACGAGCACGAAGGAAGGGGACATCCAACAAACCTCTAAGGGATATGTTTTTGCTTCTACAGTGTCTTGAAAGTGCAGGATGTTGTTTGCGCTTGTATAGAACCTTCTCGCAGAGCAAGCAGAGTTTTTTCCCAATTCTTCTTGCTATGCGAAAAGGTTTCACAGCCACTAAAAAAGTGGTTGAAGTAAATAAAGATGTTTATGCCTTGTGCTGGTAACGCAGTCGCGGCTCCATAGGGGTGTACAAGCGCAAAAGCCTCCTGTTTTTTTTTTTGCACTTTCAGAACATTGTAGAAGTAAAACACCTCCTCAGAGGTTTGTCGTATGTCCCCTCCCTTCGTGCTCGTAAGGTTTGGTGCAGGGCCCTAGAAGTTTGTCGCATGTCCCTTCGTGCTCGTAGGGCGAAGGCCCTAAAGGTTATTCTAAGCGTTTTAATTTGCAGGCGGGTTATGGGGCCACAATTGCGTTGCCACGCGCGGGTTTTTGGCACCGTTTTGAAATGCAGGCGGGTAATTTGGGCGCAGAACACTAGCCCTGAAAACGTGTCTTCGTAGCGTGTTAAAACACCATAGATGTTTCCCCTCGGCCAAATAGCTCTCGCCTTGGCGCAAGCTATGTGGTCATCAGGGCGCAGAAGGGGTGCTAGTTGCTTACGACGTCACCCTACGAGCGCAAAGGGAGATCCTACGAGCACGAAGGGAGGGGACATACGACAAACCTCGAAGCGATATGTTTTTACTTCTACAGTGTTCTGAAGGTGCGGTCCCCAAAACTTGGGCTGTGAAACCTTTTCGCAGAGCAAGAAGAGTTGTGTAAACACCCCGCTTGCTCTGCGAACAGGTTCTATACAAGCGCAACAACACCCCATGTTGTTCCCAACGTTTGCACTTTCAGAACACCGCAGAAGCAAAACATATCCAATATTGGTTGTTCGTATGTCCCTGTCGTATGTCCCCTCCCTTCGAGCTCGTAGTAAGGCTTGGTGCAGGGCTCTAGAATTTTGTCGCATGTCCCTTCCCTTCGTGCTCGTCGTAGGGTGAGGGCCCCTCGAGGTTACGAGGTTAGGCCTGAAAGCCCTAGAGCCATAACATGCTTGAAGGGCCCAGCGTGCGAGGTTTGAAGGTTTCAGAAACGCATCTTGGTTAGTCCTTGGGTGCGCGAAGAGACTGAGCGTGTTCAACTAGCATCCTGCGTTTAGGGGCCGAGCGTACTCAAACAGCACCCAAGTCTTGGGGACCGACCGTGTTCACCTAGCATCCTGCTTTTGGGGACCGAGCGTACTCAAACAGCACCCGTTGAAGTAAATCGAGATGTTTATCCCTTGTGAGCTGGAAACGTAATCGCGGCTCCATGGATAGGGTGTCCAAGCGCACAAAGCATCCTATGTTTTTTCTGATGTTTGCACTTTCAGAACATTGTAGAAGTAAAATCATCTCCCTCAGAGGTTTGTCGTATGTCCGCTCCCTTCGGTCCTAAAAGTTTGTGGCATGTCCCTTCGTGCTCGTAAGGTGAGGGCCCTAGAAGAGAACCGTTTTAAAGTGCAGGCGGGTTTTGGGGCCACAATTACGTTACGAGCACTGGCTTTTGGAACCGTTTCAAAATGTAGGCGGGCTGTAGGGCCACGATTGCGCTGATTGGGCGCAGAACACTCGCTCTGAAAACGTTTTGACGTGTGTGAAAACACCATAGATGTTTTCCCGGCGACTGGGGGACATACGACAAACTTCGAGGGCCCTCACCGGACCCTACACGCACAAAGGGAGGGAACATACCACAAACCTCGACGGGGTATGTTTTTCCTTCTACAGTGTTCTGAAAGTGCTGCTATTTGAGTGCGCTCGGTCCCCAAAACGCAGGATGCCAGTTGAACACGCTCGGTCCCAAAACTTGGGTGCTATTGCTGTAAACTCGGTCCCCAAAGGGCAAGATTCTAGTTGAACACGCTCGGTCCCCAAGACTCGGGTGCTATTCGAGTACGTTCAGTCCCAAAAAAGCAAGATGCTAGTTGAACACGCTCGGTCCTCAAGACTTGGGTGCTTTTTGAGTACGCTCAAGTAGCTCGGCCAATGACCATGAAATAGCTCGCGCCTGGGGTGTTTTAACGCTCGGTTTGTTTTTTTTTACTTTTGGCAACCAAAGACACATTTGGGAAATACAAAGGTTTACAAAGAAGCAAAAACCGTCATGCCTCGGAGCTTCGCGTGGTCCTATGTTCTCCTAACAGTTGCACTTTCAGAACACTGTAGAAACAGAAGTAAAACATATCCTTTTTTCGAGCCACGATTATATTGCCGGCACAGGATTTTGGGTTTCATCGTAAGCAACTAGCAACCCATCTGCGCTCGGATGACCAAACAGCTCGCGCCAGAGACCCCCCTCTCCCTCATACAATGGCCAACTTGCAAGAAGAAGTTCGCCTTTTTGCGGATCCTTTTTTTCGGGCCAAGAACGGCATGAATCATGTTTATGCCTTTGGCTTCTGACTCATGGTGCTGCATGACTCGCCTAATAAGAGGCCGGCACTGAAGTTTAGGGTAACCCTAAACGCCTGTCAAATTTTATATCGCGTTGTTGTTTCACGCGCTTTCCGTTGCTCTACAATCTTACTGTTTGGGGTCTTCGCCGGCATAATTTTCAATTCAGAAGCTTGCCAAGCTCTACTCCAATTCCGAACCACCGCCTGAGGCCGGATCTCCAGGAGCACCTGGCAAATGCTTGCCACGTGATTTGCATGAAGGCGCCCAAGTTGACGGAGTTTACGGTTCTCGTTTGGCTTTCGTGCGGTTCCGGGTTTAAGGTTCAACGGCTGGCGGAAGAGGTTGTCGTTCGGTTGTTGGACGTTGGGTAGCACGTTCTGTGCGCAGTGACATGTGCAGCGCCGATGGTGGCACGGGGGATGACTTCACCTCGGCGCGGGAGGCGGCGCATTTCTCGACGGCCCGGAGGCGATGCCCCCACTGAAGGCGGACAGCTGTCGACGACTTCGTCTTCGACGCTTTCCCAGAAGGTTTCGGGTGATTTGGGCCCGGTCGTCGGCTCCGAAGAGGTGAAGGGCGCCGGCGCACCGCCTGGAACGTCGGCAGTTGCCACCCCCACCAAGGCCCTCGGGCGCTAACCGCCTTACGGACCGGTGCGGGTTTAGAATGCGCGCCCGTGCACCGGCTCCGTTCGGGCGGATTGTCCGACCCGGCACACGACGCGCAAGGAACTTGAGATTTCAATTTTGGGCCCGCAGGTTGTGAAAGATTGAAACTCCTTGCAGGATGGTGTAGTACTGGTTCGGGGCGTGTTTAGGTCATTGGAGTTGCGGCGAAAAGCCCCAACAAGCCGGAGCTGTGCCTTTCTTGCCATTTGCTCAATTGCCCCATACGGGGTCGGTTTGTGATACTGCTTGGGCACATGTCCTACACTTCAAGCCAAAAATCATCAGCCACCAAAAGCCCTCAACCTTCAATCGGAGCCCAGAAACTTTGGTATATGCGCAGCATTCCCTAAACATTTAGTTGTGAAGCCCCTTTGAGAACCCCGATCCAATCAGCTCTGAAGCCACAGCCGTCCTACATAAACTCAACACATCTCGAAGCCGATCTCAACACATCTCTGAAACCGAAGCAGGTCCGGCAAGAGGTCACGAACGAGCACTCCCTGCGGAGCGCTCCCTCGGGCAGGCGCTGTCAATGCACTAAAGTTTAGGCCCGCTTAGGCATGTAGAGAATGTTGTATACCTTTATCTAGTCAAGAACGTTTCCGGGGCAGCACGTGAGGCCTGGGGCTTGAGGTGAGCTTGGAGTTTATACTGTCTCTATTTCTGCTTTACTTTCCGTTGGGCCGCTTGTACGCAAACTTCTTGCAGGCCGACCACGCAGTGGCAAGCCGGTCTTCTCTGCTTGGGCCCAAGAAAAATCTTGGGGGCTTCCCACACCGCGTGGAGTGCAGGGCCAAGGCTGTTTGCAGCCCCAGCTCCTGTTCCCGGTGAAATGCCTTGGGATGAGACCGCTAGGTGCCGCAAAGCCCGATGGCAGGGAAGGCCAAAATGCCCAACATGGGAGTGAACTGAACTCCGAGGTTCAACGTTCAGAGGGCTTGTTCGCCTTGTCAACCAGAAATCGTCAAGAGCCGCAAGCCCCTGTACTTGAGGTGCGCGCGTCCTGTGGCGAGCTTTGTTTGCCGCAGCTGCCGCCAAGGCATTTCCCCGGTTTTGGGGTTGCTGGGGGGTTGCGACACATTCCACGGCCTTGACTTGGAAGCCATGCCTTCAGAAGAAGCAGAAGAAAACGGAGTAGCCCTAGACCCTATACTAGCCTCTGCCCTGAGCCCTGAAGGCCCTAAGCCCAGCCAAGAGTCGCAGGCTCCAGCCTCCAAGAGGGCCGTCCCTGGGCCGCTGCCTCAGCTGTGAGCACATCGCGTGGCGAAACCATGCAAAAACCTGGAAAAACCTGAGACCTCCATGGAGAAGCTCCGAGCTCTCTTAAACGAACGAACAGGAGGCAAAGCCTTGGAGCCCCTTGTATTGTTCATGTATCGCTGCCCATTGGGCCAAGGGTCTTCATGGCAGCGTGCGAAGGGCTGAAGCAGGCCTGGGTGATTTATCTGCGAAATCGGTGCGATTCGGTGCCTTCTGCGTTGCCCTTGAGAAGGAGCCCCCAGGCTCATGGCTCCCCAGTTCCCTGAAACCAGTAGGTCAGTGCCCTGCGAGAGGGCTCAGGGCCCCAGTGCATCCCGACTGCTCAACGGCCAAACCGGCAAAGCCCTACAAATGGCGGAGGCCTCTCAGAAGCTCCTGACCAAGATCTGGCGTGAGGACGGGTCGAGCCATTCTTGGGAAAGCACGACGATTTTGCAGAACTTGAAGGGGTCCTTCATTGAACCTTAGGCCTAGGCTGCAGCCAGCTCCGCAGAGCTTGTCTTGTCCCACAACGCCTTGAAAGCATGACAGGTTCAGTTGCAATACACGTCCAAGGAGAACAAGCTGGAAGCTCAGCTGCCCTCCCTGAAACATTAACACGTCAAACTGAAGAACGCTTGAGTGCACTTGATTGATGACGCTTTGCAAAGGGACTCCGGTTTAGGAATCCTGTCTGCGGTCTTTCCTTTCATACCGATTCTTGAAATGCATCTCAGCATTCTTGCTCCAAAGTCGCGTGGTGCAACTCCCAGACTTGGGTGGGAAAGTGGCTGATGCACTTGTGAATCGTTGCCGCTTGCGTCACTTGATCACCCGATCCCGAACGCTCTGGACTTTTTTGGGCTTCGGGGTTGTTTCGTGTTCTTGGCAACGCTTCCAAGGCCCAGATGTCATGCAGGTGGTCCTTTGTTGGGTTTGGCGTTTAGGACTCCAGCCACACGGGCCCGCAGTAAGTACTAGGTACCTTTAAAGGGATCAACATTTAGGTCATGAGCCTGTTTTTTTTTGCAAGGCTCCCAAACACTGATAACCGCAAAGGGTTGATATGTAAATATGTAAATATGTAAATATGTAAATATGTAAATATGTAAATATGTAAATATGTAAATATGTAAATATGTAAATATGTAAATATGTAAATATGTAAATATGTAAATATGTATATATGTATACATGTATACATGTATATATGTATATATGTATATATGTATATATGTATATATGTATATATGTATACATGTATATATGTATATATGTACATTTTCATGTACTCATATAGGACCCGGAACCCCCAAACCCCTAATCCTAATCTCGGGCCCTTAGTCGAAATCCAAGAGGTACCGGAACATGAAGAGCCGGCCGGCATGGTCCGTGCTGGAGGGCCACCAGTTTGAGGTGCGCATCTCAGGGTGAAAGGATTCGCTTAGGGCTGCACCACAGCCTTCGTGCCGATCACATGCTGCAGGGTCGGGACGTCTACTGTGGCACTTGCGTCCGCACTGCCTTTGCGCAGGTCTTTGGCAAAGACCGTGGCTACGGCATCTGTGACCCATCTGTAGTAGCTCCTTCCTCCGCCGGCGACCCAGAGACTCAGAAAGCAGCCAAGCCATCGTTCTAAAGTCCTGAAAGCCCAAGCTTCCAAACCCAAATTTGCTTTCGTCTCCCGTCCGCCCCTCCCAGGCAGGAACCAAGCCTGCGTCGAACCTCCAAGACTACCTCGAAGAGGTCTTAGCTTTGAGGCGTGCTGTGGAATCCTCATACTTTAGAACTTTACAACTTAGGTTTGGGCCTCTTTCCGTCGACCCTAAGTGCTCCTAAATCCTAAATGGAGACCTCGGGCTTGGAGGTCTGATGCTCGATTGCAAAAGCCGCTGCCCAGAGTTCTCTTCGGAGGGGCTCTCTTGGTTCGCTTCGTTCCCCGAAGTATTCCCGAAGTATCGTGTGGTGCAGAATGATGGCCCGTGGAAGTTCCTCATTGATTCCTGGCTTTGGACCCTCAGCCCCTGGAAGGTTCGCCGTGGATTGGATGAGCCTGTCCATGGAGGTGGGGGGGGGGGGGGGGGGGGCGGGGCAGCGTCTCGTACGTTCGTTTGGTTCCTTCTTTTCTTTCTTTAGGACGTCCCTCCAACATGGGTTCCCCAAGAAAGTAACTCCACTTTCGTTCGGACGGAGGCCTCAGAGATCAGTCGCAACAACTCGCGCTGCAACAGCGTAGATGCAGCCCACAAACCCAAACTACAACTCAACCCCAACCCCAGCAAACCGCGATGCTGCCGGCCTTGGGACTCGTCGTTCGCCCAGGATGCCCAAGAGTTCTTGGACCAAGCCACCAAGCCTCCTGTCTGAACGGCTTTCGGGTTTAGTTTGTGCAGGGTTTGGGGCTTTCCGGCCTCAGTGCATGCCACTTGGGTGTAGGGGTGTTGGGGGCTTTTGCCACCCCCTGCCCAAAACATCAGCCCCTGGTCTTATCAGGAGGGATTGAAGTGGGTGTCCAGGGGATCGCTTTGAAAGTTCATCTCCGAGATTATGGCTCGTCAAGGTTAGGCTTTCTACCCCTTGGTGCAAGGAAGCTCCACAACTTCAGCGACTCTTCTCATGTTGTTTTTTCCAGCGTCGCCCCAAACGCCAGCGTCGCCCCAAACGCCGCTCCTGAACAGCTGTCCAGGCGCGCCTACAAGCGGCCCGTGCTGAAGCCGAAAGCTGCGCCAGACCCGGTGTCGCAGCAGCTGGCGGCTCTAAAGGCGGCAGCCTTTCGACGTCTATCTTCTGGATTGAGGGTACTTGAACCCACCGAACCCCGCTTGTTTTTGGTTTTAAATACGAATGTTGCAGAATCCTGGGCTTGGTGTTCTTGAGGTATAGGCGAAGGGTGCCAGGATGTTCGGGATTCTCGGGTGTTAAGGTGTGAAGCTTTCGAGTGTACAGGGCTCGCGTGTGGTTGCAGGAGAAGACAATCGACTCCTTCTCCTTGATGTTCCGAGCTCAGTGAGCGTGTTGCAAGCCCTCCCCCCCCCTTCGCACCCAGCAAGTACGAGCCAAGCCTCCAAACACGTGAAACCCCGAAGCCTCGAATATGTTGAAAGGTGGACAGACGATGCAGAGCTTCGTGGCGTCGCGTCGCTGGCCATCCGGCTCATGGATGGCTTGGAAGGCCTTTTTGTTTAGAGCTCTCGGAGTTTCAGTTTAACCTTGTCAGATTGTGTGATGGCTGGCGTCTTGCAATGAGGTTAGCATGAGGCAGAGTTGAATCAAACACAGGTTTGAGCCTAACCATGGCAAGGTGACCCAGATTTCGGCGGATAATCTTATATCCTCCTCTGTGTGAATGGCAGGGCCGAGCTCTCTGACCTTTGCAGCGACCTTCGTCGGGCAGATGCTGCACCGCCGGCCTCCTTTGAGTCGTTGACGGTTGGGTTACCTCTTCCACGCGCCGTCTTTCCTGCTATTCCCTCGGGTTAGGGGAGGACTGGGCGACTTGTGGCAGTATTGCGGTGTTGCGAGAGGTTCTTCAATGCCAATGCCATTGTACATCGACCTTAGCATATCCTCCGTCGAAGCCTTTTTTGTCACACTTTGATTTTTTGATGTTGGA